CCCCAAAACCCCAAAACCCCAAAACCCCTTATGATGAATTCAATAATAAAATGAATGAAATTATTAATTTAAATATTTATAAGTCTTGACTAAAATATAAAAATTTGAATAATTCATAAATGGATCTTAAGGTAAGTTTACATTTCGCACTTGTTTAAAATAACTTGTCAAAATTAAATTTTGAGAGCAATGACCCTAAGTGTTTTATAGAAAGAAGAGGAGAAGGAGAAGCGACAAAAACCTGTAAGCACTAAAATCTTATCAAGCCATCGTGATTTTTAATAAATATATACAGACAAGCTTCACATATAATGCAGACAGAGTAGTTGGAAATGGATCGTTTGGAGTTGTTTTCCAGGTAAGAATTAAATTCAATTTGGCTATGCCAAAAATATCAAATCATAGCTAATGAGTTTAAATAGGCTAGTGTCGCTGAAACTGGAGAAGTAGTTGCGATCAAGAAGGTCTACTAAGATAAGAGATATAAAAATAGAGAGTTGTAAATCATGAAGGAGTTATATCATCCTAATGTTATTACACTTAAACATGCTTTTTATACTCAAGGAGACAAAGTAAGTTAAAAAGCAGTTCATTCATAAACTAATTCATATAAACTTATAAATTCAAAGATCGAAGCTACTGTTAAAGAAGCTTAGTCTTAAACCCTATTGAATATAATTATAACGGTACATTCTATAGCCTGATGAAATATACTTGAATGTTGTCATGGATTATATTCCTGAGACCGTTTACAGAGTTCTTAAACATTACAACAAAATGAAACAGCAAGTCCCAGTTCTCCTTGTAAAATTATATGCCTATCAGTCATTCAGAGCACTAGCTTATATTCATGCTCTAGGCATTGTGCATAGAGATATTAAACCTCAGAATTTACTAGTTGATCCAACAAATCACATTCTGAAATTGTGTGATTTTGGTTCAGCCAAAAGAATCGCTAAGGGAGAGGTTAATGTTTCGTACATATGCTCAAGATACTATAGAGCTCCAGAGTTAATTTTCGGAGCTACTGATTATTCAGCTGCTATTGATGTATGGTCATGTGGTAGTGTGATTGCCGAACTACTCCTAGGACAGCCATTATTCCCAGGTGAATCAGGAGTGGACTAATTGGTAGAAATCATTAAAGTATTAGGAACTCCAACTAGAGATCAAATTCACAGTATGAATCCAAACTACTCTGAGTTTAAATTCCCATAAATAAAGGCACACCCCTGGAATAAAGTCTTCAGATCAAGGACACCTCCAGATGCAATAGACTTGATATCTAAAATCCTCGTCTATAACCCAGAGAGAAGACTCAAGCCACTTGAAGCTCTCCTACATCCCTTCTTTGATGAGCTCAGAGATAAAAATACTAAGCTACCTACCGGAAACTAATTACCTGATTTATTCGACTTCTCTAAAGAGGAAATCACCTCAACGTCACCGGAGATCATAGAACAACTTATACCCAGCTGGTACAAGAAGAAGTGATATGTTGCTTTATCATATTATATAGCTTTATATAATTAAATTATGTTATTTCACCTAATTCACTTTTTATAATTCTATTTTTGTCTTCGGGGTTTTGGGGTTTTGGGGTTTTGGGG